GTGACTATCCAGCAAATTCCTTATCCAGCGGGTGTTCCATCCATCAAATCCATGTTTTTCCAATTTGGCCATCAGGATGTTGTGCGGGACAGTGTCAAATACTTTGCAAAAGTCCAGGTAGATGATGTCATTTGCTCTTCCTTTGTCCACTGATGCCATAACTCCATCATAAAAGGCCACCAGGTTTGTTAGGCACGATTTGCCCTTGGTGAAGTCATGCTGATTACCAGTCACCTCTCCTTCATTTTCCATGTGCCTTAGTAGAGCCTTCAGGAGGATCTGCTCCATGATCTTGCCAGGCACAGAGGTGAGACTGACTGGCCTGTAGTTCCCTGGGTCATCTTTTTTAACCTTCCTGAAAATGGGGTTTATGTTTCCCCTTTTTCAGTCTGTGGGAACTTCACCCGACTGCCATGACCTTTCAAATATGACAGTTAATGGCCTGGCAACTTCGTCTGCCAGTTCCCTCAGGACCCATGGATGGATCCATGGATGGATCTTGTCAGGTCCCATGGACTTGTGCACCTTCAGGTTCTTTAGATGGTCTCAAACCTGATCTTCACTTACAGTGGGCAGATCTTCCTTCTTCCAGTTCTTACCTTCACTTTCTGCAACTTGGGTAGTGCAGACAGAGCTGTTGGCAGTGAAGACTGAGGCAAGAAGTCATTGAGTACCTCAGCCTTATCCATATCCCTCATGGGCAGGTCTCCAGTTTCCTTTCAGAGAGGGCCCACATCTTCCCTAGTCTTCCTTTTATCACTGATGTACTTGCAGAAGTTCTTGTTCTTCTTTATGTCCCTGGCTAGATTTAATTCTGTTTGGGCTTTATCTTTCCTAACCTGATCCCTGGCTGCTGGGACAGCCTCTTTGTATGCCTCCTAGCTAACTCATTCTTGCTTCCACTCCCTATATATTTTCTTTTTGTGCCAGAGTAAGTCCATGAGCTCCTTTTTCATCCTGGGAGGCCTCCTAGCATTCTTGCCTGACATCCTCTTTCTTGGGATGCACTGCTCCTGTGCATGAAGGAGGTGGCCCTTGAATACTGACCAGCTTTCTTGGGCCCCTCTTCCCTCCTCTAGGGCTTTGTTCCACGACACTGCCAAGCAGGTCCCTGAAGAGGTCGAAGTCCGCTCTCTTGAAGTCCAGAGTAGTGTGTTTTCTGTGCACCCCCTTTGATCCCCCAAGGATCTATGAAATCATAGTCACTGCAGCCAAGGCTGCCCTTAAGCTTCACACTACTCAACAGCCCCTCCTTGTTGGTAAGGACACAGTCCAGCATAGCACCTTTTCTTCTCGGTTCCTGTAACACTTGGAAGAGGAAGTTGTCATCAATGCGTTCCAGGCATCTCTACAGTTTCTGGTGCCCTGCTGTGTTTTCTGACAACAGGTACCGGGGTGGTTGAAGTCCCCCATAAAGGACTTGCAAACTCAAAGCTGTTTCTGTCTGTTTATAGAGGGCCCCATCTACTCAGTCTTCCTGGTCAGGCGGCCTGTATCAGACCCCCACTACAACATCTCCTTCACCTGCCTTCTCTTTAAACCCTGAGCCGTAAGTTCTCTGGCAGCAGCTCATCCATCTCCAGGTGGAGCTCCATGGATTCCAGCTGGTCACTGACAATCTCATAGTAATGGGAATATGATGGAAAACTGGTACTGAATGTTGAAGAAAATCTGTTGCTGTGGAATATTTTGTTTTGTTTGTTTCATTTTTAGTTTCAGTAGATCTAAACAGGGAATCATCATTTTCAGTTTTTCCCAGCAAATCATTCTCTGTTACTGCAGCACCAAGCTGTGACATGGATTAAGCTTCCACGCAGGGAAGAGAAACTAATTTTGCGATCAGCTATTTTCCCTATTTTCCCTTTTTTTTTTTTTTTTTTTTTCCTCGTGCCTCATAAGTTATTCTTTAACCTGTTGGCTATCATCAGTTCTCTTCTTGAAATCTCTGGGGCCACAGCATGCTCTGATAGCCTTGTGGCTGTAGGGAATAGCAGTTCAGGGGACTGAAAGATTATTTTACTATTCTGAAACAAGACATTGATGTAAGCTTAAATTGAAATCCTTTCATGCACTTAGGACTTTGAAAAATTTGCATTTCATTTTGTCTGTTGTGATTTAGCATTAATATATTATGGTGGATAGAGATAGCTAAACACCTGATATATATGTAACTAGAAGTTTATCACATCAATCAATCTCCTGTTTCAACAGGATTAAAACCATGTCAGGTTCTACTGTTCTTGAATTTTTAAATAAATTTTCATATTGTTCTAGTTTTTGTTGCCTACTACGTATTAGGTGTGTCTTTCAGACACTTCTTTCCATAAATCTGAAAATAACGTCAGTCCCCAGTGGGTTTTAAATATGAAGATTTCCATTATTTCTGTCTCTGCTGGAGCTGTGCTGTTGTTATGGCAGGAGAAAAGAACTCTCACATGGATGAGACCAGTGGAACCCGTGAGGGAAGACCATATCATTTTGCCTAGTGGTTCTGTAGAGCAGAACTGTGTAAGATGAGGTTGTCATAGAGAAACAGTGATGGGTAATCTTAAAATGCTGTCAGTACAATGCTGTTCATTTAGCTGTGGATTCACATAACTACACAGTGTGATATTTGAGAATCTGTCAGGTTACCTTCTCAGGACATTTGAGTTAATTAATGTGATGATACAACCATTAGAACATCTTAAATTCCAAACAAATGTTTCCTGTCCAGTATTCTGTATTCAGTATTTCCTATTTTTCACATTCTTTGTTTCCAACTCCTATTTTATATGTGTGTGTGTGTGTGTGTGTATATATATATATATATAAAAGATTGTTTTATAGATTTTCTGGAGCAATTCCCTGCTGACTGAGACATAGTATGTTGTGCAACATCTAAAATGTAGAGGCTTACTACAACACATTCATTTATTTTCAATAATTGTATCTTTTTGGAAGTGAGACACCTCCTTATTTGGTTCCATTTCAAGTAATTTGGTAAAGAAGTTCATTTTCTGTCTGATGCTGAAGCCAAAGCACTGACTATATTATATTACATGGCTCTTGGCTTTTAGGGATGCTTGATGGAGTTATAGCTAAACTTTGAAAACTAATACTATTAAATGATGCAGTGTTTATTATGCTATTTAACTGATAGATGCTTTCTGTTAAGGCAAATGAATTGACATTCAGTTTGTAGCAATTTTATACTTATGGTTGCTCAGGCAAGCAGCAAGATATGTATCTAGCTTAGTTATTCAACTTCCCATAATGTTCAGAGAGGCTAAGCACCTCATAATCATTCATGTGTTTATCCTCATGGACTTCCAGTCAAGGTCAGGGACATTCACCAATTAAAGGAAACAAAATGTAAGGACTGTATTTAAGGCATTTAATATGAATGCTGTGACCACTTCTTTATAGAAGGGAGAAACTGGGAATCTTCTGAAGAGCCATGAATCTTGAGTTTGCTCGATCCCTTGAAATTGAATGTGTCACTGTGGCACTGAGCTTATGCATGTAGACCAAGTGGTAAGACTTTACATATCACAAAAAAAAGTCATTCTGGCAATGGAATTGAACCTCATCATTCTAGCTCTTCAACACCCCCTCACTCTTCTGTCTCATTTTTTTCTGGCAGTCTTATCCAGTAATACTGTGGTAGCTCCTATTTCTGAAGGAAATTTACTAGCAATGCTAATTGTATAGGACAAAATATTAAACTAAGCTGTAGTGCATAGGGTAAGGAGTCAGTATACTAGATTCTTTTCCTGGATCTCCTTTTGAATTTATGAAGTTTTCAGATTCTTTAACATAGTCACTATATGTAAAAAAGGGCAATGTTGTTTACTTGTTTACCTTGTTAAAGAACTTCCTAGTCCTATCCCTGTCATCACTGTAGGGTGTATAGCATTGGTGAGGAAAAGCTTATGAAAAGAGGGGAAAGGTTTTAATCACAGTGATTTAACTTGGAGATGGGTGCATTTTTTGTGAGCAATTTTATATGCTTCCCTTAAGAAGATGGCAGGTTGTTAGCCTCTATAGGCAAGTTACGTAGTGAGAATATGAGAATCCCTCGGTGCACAAGTGGCTGAAGGCTGATGCTTGGTGTGCATGTCTTCCACCTACTTGTGTCTACTGTCAGGGAAGGCACAGAACAGCATAAACATCCAGGTTTGCTCACAGTACACTGATACAAATACAGTGGGTTCACAGAAGTAACTTAAGCTGATTAATGAAAACAACTAAACTGTGTTTGTTAAAACTTAGCCAGATGAAAAACTAGTTGCAAAAGTAGGTGGAGCCTGTATTGAGGATTGAAATCTTTGGTTCTGATGAATTTGAAGGGACAAGACAAGGAAAAAAAAGGCCCTCATTTGTCACTTGGGGGGATGTTAAGTGTGTGTGTCATTAGTTTAATATTTGATAAAATTATAAACTCAATTGTCCTAAAATTATTTTTGTAAATCAGCAAATAAATGAGGAAAGAGATAACTACTTTGCCTATCGGCTTGCTGATGATTTTGATTTGTAAGTTTTCAGAAGATACATTCCATTTTCTATGGAAGTATAATTTGAAAACAGGCTGAGTTAACAGACAGTATCATAGGCATGTGCCTTTTAAAAGTCATGTATAGAATTTTAGATGGAGTCCTCTTTAAGAGTAAAAAGATCCTCAAGAGTAGCAGTACTACAGTAGAATGTCTGTGATTGTTCTGTTTTGCATGGCAATGATTGCTTGTTTTTTTTAAACAAATTACTGGAATATATGTTCTTTTGTTTTCATCACAAGTTAACATGGATCTTAGTTTTGAGGTAGAATGACTTGTTGACATTTTTTTCAGTAACCGTGAGCTGAGCACTCATATTGCCTATTAATTAGGAGTAGCAGGGTGTCCATTATGATAAATGACTATTAGTAAGTACCTGACAAGTATCGAATGTTTTAGTTATGGAATCGAAGTTGTATATTTGGCCACCAGGTAAATACTAGTGATATTTCTTTGTGTCTTAAGTGCAACGAGAGGCAGAATTCACCAGTGACTTCCCCGGGATCTTCCCCTCTTGCACAAAGAAGAAAACCACTTCCAGACCCTCTACAAATACCACATCTTAGTCTTCCACCTGTACCTCCTCGCCTGGATCTTATTCAGAAGGGAGTAGCGCGGTCACCATGTGCCAGCCCAACTGGATCACCAAAGGTGAGTCTTATTGAATCATTATTTCTTTATTTATGAATATTGAGAAATTGTATTTGGTTGTTTTCAAGGCGAGGAGGCTTTTTGTGTTTCAGAAGGTAGGCTATTATGAAATTTTCCATGTGTATTTTCTTTCTCAGGAGTTTGTTCTGTCCAAAAGAACTTTAATAATTCCTTGTAGCTTAGAAAAACTTTAGATTAGATCCACATGGATTATATCTCTTATCTACCTCAGTTGACTTTGGTGAGTTTCTGACCCTTTGCGTAATACCTTACATAGGCAGAAGTTTACAGCTACATGTGTTGGTCAAATGTGACCTCTGTCTGCTTATTGTATTGCACTTGTTTATGGTCAGAATTATAAAGGCGTTGTTATGATGGATCAATTCTGTAATAAACCCCGATTAATTAAAATAAATAGAAATTAAAGTTTCCTGAAAATAGATTTTAAGGTCATTATCTCATTTAAATTATATGTTGTGCTCTCATCATGATTTATGCTCAATTTCCACAGTATCCTTACAAGAAGGATATGTGCAGATACCTTGCTTTCAAAACCTTAACTGGTATATGTTAAGACTCAAGTCTCAAGGGAAATAATAATCTATAGCTAATATATTGTATGCTGTTTTTTGTGAATCTAATCATAATATAGAGTTAATGATTTTTTTTGGGTAGGTAAGCATGAATAAGTGCAAATACTGTGTTTGTTGCTCTCTATTATGAGTTGATCATTTTGTTGTGGTTGCTGCATAGAGAGCAGGAATTAGATTTTAAGTTTTGATTTTTAGATGAATTCAAATTCAAGTTCAAAACATGACTTGAAACCTGTGTGATCTTAATAATCCAGTATGAAGTACCATATTTATTTTGTCAGGTATTTACTTCAAGCTTGAAGATCAACCTGTTTAAGATTCTGATGGTTTATAATTTAAAGGAAAAAAATAAAATTTTGAATAGTTTCTTTAAACTTCTTTCATTACTTTTTAAATTATACAAAGGAATTTATAAAACATTGAGGATATATGCTAAACATTTGGTACATCCATTAAAAATCAATTTTACAATAGCATATTCTTACAAAGTTTATGTCTTATAAATAACAGAAAATTAGATATAGCATTAATATTGCTTCAAATTTTTCAGTGACATTATTTGAAAATGCTGGGTTTTTTTCCTTGAAACTTTTCCTGGAAAAAAAAAATAAAATTGGGGGGATGAAAGGGAACTAAGATGAGGGCAACAAGGAATAATTTTATACTTTAAAAAAATTCATATTAAGAAAAAAAGAGACAATTTAGTACTAGCAAGGCTACTACTTCAGTCAAAAACCTCTTTTTCTGCAATGAAAACTATAACTATAAGCTATAACAAAGATTTTTGGACCTAGCCATAATGACTATTTTTCTTAAGCAGCATCTGAATTAAACACTTTATTTAATATACTGTCCTATTTATATGAGTAGAGCTGCAGGTAGAATAGCTATTTTAAATTTAAGTAACATATTGAGGTGATGCTTAAAGAATAATGATGGGTTAGTCTGTCAAGTGAAGAGCAACTGCTGTTCTTACTTTAAAACTTTTGTGACCTCCATCTCTTCAAGAGGTCATAATATGCAGGCTTACCAGAGTCCATTAAAATTACACCTTCCGAGGGAAATCATCTTCCTTGTATTTCTTATGGTGGCTGGTGGTAAGAGCAAAACATTTTCTGAAGATCTGGCCTGAGCATTATTTTGTAAAATGCTGTTAGTAGTTCACTCCTAACCTAACAAAAATCTTTTTGTTTTGTCAGATTTGTGCTCTTAGAAGCTATACCACTACCTGTGCAAGTTATTGGGGTTTTTTCCCCCTGGTAACTTGTTTTTTCGCTTTTTTCCAAACATCCCTCAGAATTCATTTAAGCAGCTAAATAAGTGATTCAAGGGATCAAAGCAAAGGATTCTGGAAAAAAGTTATGGGTCAGATAAATCTGCCTCAGGCAGTTTTCTTTTCTCCCATCTGCCTCCTCCCTTGGGTTACTCATGCAACAGCAGAAATGGGGGCATGCTTTCTGAAGAGAGGCCAGGTTGCCTGCAGAATGCAAGGACAAGACTGACATTTAACCTACTGGCGAGTACTGTTGTGATGCCTTGAAAATATCTCAGTTAGAAATGGTAAAGCCATACCTGATAATGAGAGAAATATGCATGCCTATATATATTTTTTTTTTACTTACTGTGTTGCCTAGTCTTCTCCTTGTATGGTAAGGAAACAAGACAAACCTTTGCCAGCACCACCACCTCCCTTGCGTGATCCTCCGCCACCCCCACCAGAGAGACCCCCTCCAATTCCACCAGACAACAGGATAAGCAGACACCTGCATCATCCGGAAAGCGTGCCTTCCAGAGATCAGCCGATGCCCCTTGAAGGCTGGTGTCCCAGAGATGTGTTTGGGACGAGTCAGTTAGTAGGATGTCGAATGGGGAGTGATACTTCTCCCAAACCAGGACTGACTGCAATTTCAAACATAAATGGAAGGCACAACCGCATAAGTTCTGATCCTGGATTTATGAGGAAACATAGACGTCACGAGCTGCCTGCAGAAGGTGCCAAGGTATGAAATGAGCTGAATGTGTTGGATCCTAATTTGATACCCTACTGCAACATTGTCTTGCATAGGCTAAAGTATTGTTTATATTGGTCAGTGTTGATGTGCTGTTTCCAAGTCTTTCCTGTTGATTCTTAATAGTAAGCTGGTCATAAATAAATGGTTTGTTAAATACTGTAATTTGTAAAGCAACAATATCTGAAGGTATAAGTTACAGTTTTAACATGAAACCTTCAAAAATTGCTGGGAGAGAAAATTCTAGATTTGCTATGTTCTTTTAGCAAGTTATCCGTACAGTTGGTGCATGATAATAAGATAGCCCTATATGCTGTAGTATGGTTATATAGCATCTCAGGTCCACTTTGAAAGTGTCTTATGCCAAAACTGTATATGCATTTGCTGATGGAATAGTAGATGTTCCAGTTACCTCTGTCATAGGTGAGATAAGGACTTGGTAACCTCTTCAATCTGTAATGTATGCAATATGTATAGATGATGCATACAAGCGTACTTAAATTGTCAGATATGTTACGTGCATTTGCACAAAAATCTAAATATTTTAAAGGTCAGTTGTGTTGTTCATCAGTAAAACATTATTTTCAAAATAGCATTGAATTAGTCATGATGTTCAGTATAGTCTAATGGAGAAGATCTAATCTGCCTTGACCCTAAGAAAGAGTAAACAAGTACATCCAAAGCCAAGCTAAATGTAGCATCATTTATTGTATCTTTACCACTGGCTATATGGGCAACATCCTTGAAAGTGCTTAGTGGGACAACCCCAGTATTGCATTGTTTGACTTGGTATTATAATCAATACTCTAAAACTTATTCATGATAATTAGCATTGCAATTCCCTTTTTCTTAGTCAATTGTTTACAGTAATACACATATCTTTAGCTTAATTTTTCCTCCTTTTTACTTAAATCAGAACTCCAGCTGCTAGAGTTGTACATCGTTGTAATTTGTCCATAGAAGCTTTTGACATCTGTTGGACAAATGTCCAGTGTAATGCCCAAAAATCCATTTTCAGTGCTGAGGGTGTTCAGAGTTGTCACTTGCAACCTTTTTACTGATTGTCTGCCTTGGTTTGGCTAGGGGGCATCTGCTTGTCACCTACAGAAGTATGTTTTCTTGTCCTTTCTTGCAGTGAATAGTATTGTATGTCTCTAACTATGGTGTTTCTTCTGTCAAAAAAATAGAAGGATTGTTTCTATATGTTAATTGAAGATATACGGTGAGGAGAGTGTAGAAGTAGTAGTTCTGGCACTATGCAGCTTCAGACAACTTGCAAGACAGTTGGGGATGCTTAGGTCTGAAAAGAGATCAAATGGTGATGGCCTAAGAAAAAAATTCCTAGTTTGACTCTAATCAGTTTTATCAAAGCAGCTCAGTAATTCATTCATAGAGCAGGTTGTTAACTCAAAGATGCTGCTCTTATTTTTCTTGAAGACTACATAGCATGTGCTAAGAAGGATGGATTTGTGCTTAAGTCACAGTAGAAATCATCAATTTTTCTCTCTGTTTGCTTTTCTCAATGTCACAAGCTATATAACCTTTCTATCTCCATTTAAAAAAAATATATAGATGTTTTGGTTATTTTGGAAGTATGTTAATGAAATTCAATTAGTATTGGTAAAGAACATTGACATATGATCAAAGGCACTTAAGAAGTCCATGATATATAATCAGAATGTCCTTTTATCAGCATTGAGGCAAAACACCGAAATTTTACTTACCTCTGGGCTATTGTTTAAAGTACTACCTGTTTTTAAGAGGATACTTGGTTTATGCCTTCATATAACATTCCAGTTGTGGTCTGCTGCAGTATTGAAGCTTATGGAATGAATGCTTCTCAAATCAGAATAATGACTCAGTGCAGAAGCGCCATTGTAGTCTGGAGAAGTTACATATGTGGGTTTTTTTAACCAAATGTCATTTGAACTGTTGTCTTCAGGTTATAGATCTAAGCCATTTGGCTAAATGGAGCAACTGACAACTCTGAATTATTGTTTCAGGCTGTATGCATGTTCACAAGGGAAACGTTTAATGAATTCATCCCTGATTCATGTATCAATTGTAATATCTTTTTGCTATTGGAAAAAACCAAGAATTGGGAAGATGATCCTGTAGGTAGGGGGTGGATTTTGGCAGGCACTGTATCACTGAGTTTAAAAAAAACCTTACTATGCTTAGCATGCTGTACCTGTTGTTTTCCCCCTGTACTTATCTCTCACTTTGATCGGTCTGCAGTCTCGAAGTCTTAACTTTCCCACATGCAGTTCAGCTGTAACTGAGTAGTCCATCTAGTAACCATGAGGTGGAGCTTCCTCTTTTGGTGAAGTTTTAGGCTAATGTGTTCTACAGCTCCCAAATGGGGTGTGCTGAAACAGGTATGAAAGAGTCACATCAGGTGACAGCTCTGTAGTGTCAACTCCTGGGAAAGCCTTTACCCATAATCTTCTCAAAGTCTATTTTGTAATACCTGGTTGATGAACATCCATGATAACAAATGGGAAGAGAGACCTATTGTAGCATTTGTGTGATTTTTAGGTCTTTTCGAATGGTCATCTCATAAATGAAGAATATGATGTCCCTCCACGGCTTTCACCCCCTCTTCCAGCTGCCTCCATCATCCCTAGTATAAAGTAAGTTAACTTTATTTGTAAAAGAAATGTGTTAGTTAATGTTATATAATAGCACTGATTCTCTGGTGCTAAAAGAAAAATGGGGGGAAAAGAATTAAATAAAATTAAATAATATAACTTGGTGATACATTTTCCATTAACTTTAATGTGGCTTTACAAAGGAAATGTAAATTGTATTGATTAAGTGGGATCAGTTGTAATGTTAATTGAACATACTACATTTTTATAGGAAGAGAGAATAAATTGTGGCAGATCTTGCTCACAGGCTTTTGGCAGTGGGAGCTGTCACAGTCTGGTTTTTCTCCTACTACTACAGAAGAAGTGGGGTCAGAGCTATTTATCACAGGAGATTAGAGATTCTAGGGCAGGTACTAAAGGTAAAGAGCATGATTTGTCTGTGTTCTGCCCCAGTCTAGTCATACTTTCTGGGCTTTCTACACAAGGAGCTTTATCCAGGGTTCACACTAGTATCTTTTCTTTGTTGTGGCTAAAAAACAAACTCCATTTTAAATGGAGTCAACCTCCCTGAGTTACAGAATATGGTTTGGGAAATTTTGTCTTTTCAAGTTGCCTACTACTCTTGGTCTTCCAGTAATATGGCTATTTATTTGGTACTAAAATGTTGCTGTACATAGCAAGTATCTTTGGACTCTAAATCACACAGGATTTTCTACAGAACAAAAGATATTTAAAATAGAAAGCTTGGAAGTGTTACAAGGTAGTTTGAAAATGTTTTGTATTTTTGTAAGGAAATTTGAGTATATTGCAGTCTGATGTTATCCTACAGTTTCTTTCTAATGTACTCCATGTGATTCTTGCTGTTAAAATAATTGGGCAATCAGTATTTATTAATACTGAGAATTTTCTCATTGGTGTGTAATTTTGGACTATTTCACCACTTGTTCCATTGTTATTCAGTTAGTGGTAATATAAAAGATAAATATATTTCAGCATTTCGTTAATATGCTGGTTTTTCTCTTCCTAAGCACTAGAATTGAAGGTGCAGTAGAGCATTGACTTTTTCATTCAGAAGCACGTGTTCAGGTTGATTTATTGCTGAGTCAAAGCTCTCCATAGAATCATAGAATCATTAAGGT